TTCCATTTGCTTGATTAGTTCTCGAGTAATGCAGACATTTCTGTTTTTTGTATGGAAGCCCCCTTACAGAGGGGGAGTAGTCTCGAACCATCATAAGAACCTTTCCCGGCACCAAAAACCTCTGCATACACATTTTCACGCCGATCGGTTCTGTAGTTTGCGAGTCTATAAGGGTTAGACAGACAGACAGCCAGACAGACAGAAATTAATTTTTATATAGGGGAAATGGATGTAATGTCGGCCTAAATGCTTCTAATTTGGGCCTATACATAAATTCAGCAATCGACCAAATTTTCAATAGTGACCAAAAATATCCATTAGTACCGTCCCAATGACGCGTAGGCACAGATAAATTATATTCCAACTCTTTACTGTAATAAGCCTGTTGGCCCTGAAAAAGGCCGATTTGTTGTCAAAGTTTGTGATGATTTAACCTCCGTAACCGTACAGAGTGCGTCTGTCGCTTCAAAACGTAGGCGGCATCCATAGCCGCTAACGCTTGTCGTGTTCAGAGTAGGTGACAGTATCACGGATCACATTTTCCAGGAATACCTTCAGCAAACCTCGTGTTTTCTTGTAGATCAGACCGGAGAAACGTTTGACACCGCCACGGAGAGCCAGGCGACGTATCGCGGTTATCACGAAGAACCTTGCGATGAAGCTTGGCGCCTCCTTTACCAAGACTTTTCTCTCATTTGCCACGACCATTCATTGTTGCCTGTTGGGTAGAAGAATAGATTACCTTCTGCTGCCTGCTCACCACGCCGTCGAAAATGAGTTGAGCAGAATGATGTGCAACCAAGTGGTACTCTATTATGACGACTGGGTTTGGGAAGAACGTTTATTTCATGAAAACAGTGATAAAATTATCACTTTTTATTTGTTAAAGGGTTTTAGACCGAGAAAAGAAAGGACAACTATCCGCGAAGGTGGCCACAGGTCGAGCGAGGGTTATCGTTTCTATCAAAAGGAAGATTCGGGTGAATCTAGTGCGTTCAATAAGAAAAATGGCAAAAGAACACGGGATCAGTGACTTTACGGCACGGAAGTACGTAAAGGAAGATTGCGAGGCGAAGTCAAAGGCATATCAAATTCCAGAACCGACCGGTATATTAGTTCTCTTCCGGTAAAAGACGTGGCCGACGAGCACAAGAACGTGTATCTCACCAAACATCCTGCTAGCGTTATGGTGTTTGAATTGGTGGCTTCCGATGGCAAAAAATGGACCTGGTGTTCATTCCAGAAGGCGACTAGGTCAACACGGAGGTCTACATCAGGATTTTAAGTAACTATGTTCTTCCGTGGCTCAAATAACAGTACGGTCCGAAGCCAAATGTTGTATTTCAACAAGATGGGGCTCTGTGCCAAACCTCAAACCGCACTCAGAAGTGGTTGCAGGAACATCTTCCGTTCTGGCAAAGGATATGTGGCCGCCATGCAGCCCGATCTTAATCCGCTGGATTACTCAATATGGCGCGTCATGAAAGCCAAGGCCTGTTCTAAACGCCACCCGAGTACAGCAAGCCTCAGACAAACATTGACCCGTACCTGGAGAGAAATGGATCCAGACTACATTATTAGAACCTGCCGTGCATTCCGGAAGCGTGTGGAGGCCATAATTGCAGCAAATGGTAACTCGATCAATAATTAACAAAGTTTGAGACTCTGAGAAACATCCCCCCTTTGAATAAATAAAAAAAAGTCGAAAACGAAATTTTTGAGAATTTTTTTTTAGTTTTGACTTTGCTCAATGGTGCAAACATTATCACGCATACGGTACATTGAACAATGCTTGATAATACCACTTTTTCAATCGTTTCTTGTGTCTTTAGTCGGCAGTATTGCTATGGATGCATAGAAATATTTCTGATCAATTGGTGATAAAATTATTAAAATTGGTCCAGGGGCAGCTGAGTTATTAATGTTCAAAATCTTTCATAATTTTGTTACATGTTCCATTTCCGGTTTTCACAAAGTGTACCCCCATATAGAAATCGCAGACGTAGTACTACGGCAGAAAATTAAGATAAAAAAAAGTTCAGTAGTAATCATATGGTATACCTAGGATTAGTATTCGGAAAATCTTTATAAATTCTCATTCAAAGAATAAATTTGCATGTGACCGAAGAAGTCGTCTCCACTCTAATCGATCCATGGCCACACGTTTTCAAGCTCGTAGTATGCAAAGGGGCCACTGGTCACCTAGATTAACATATCGCAACCCGTGAAGCGATTTTCAGTCCCATGTTCCGAGTTTCAAATCGTACTCCTTATTTCGTCGCATAGGTCTGTACCGATTGTTCCGTTCCGTATTTCTTTCTTCGGTATGTATATCTCTGTTTATATCCCACGCGGGCACTAGGACGGTGATCAGCCGCTCCTAACATGGAGAAAAGACGCCGTTTTGAGTCGCACCTCCATATTTTTTTTGCTTTATTTAGGAGATTTTTAGCCGTAGGCTAGTTTATCTCCGCACCTCAATGGTGAGCTCGGCGCTCGGGTTTGGTGGAGCATTTCCTCTATCACCGTACTATGTTTACCGCCCCAGTGTTCGCGTCGCACCTTATCACTTTGCTATTGCCGGACTGACAACATTGCCCAGGCTACGCCACCTAGCTTTGTATATGTCTCAACTGGTAGCCTTTTGTTATGATTTGACTCGGAAAGGTAGGTGAGGTAGGAACTTGCGAAAACCAAAACTAAAGGGTGTACCGTTAAAAATCAACACACACTCAAATAGCTCAAATTTTTGAAACGTTAGGTAAAATTAATTGAAATTTTTCGTAGACATACTTTAATGTGTATTGTTCACACTATATGAGCTGATTTCATGAGGTGCGCAAAAGTTTTCAAAGTGGCGACGAAAAAAATATATCTCATAATGACAAAATGACATGCGATCAACGAGCCGAATGATAACGATATGTCAGCAATGGCGAGCAATAAAGATATAATTTTCTTTCTTTTTTCATGACAAACGGACTTCGCTAATATAGCTCGCTCTGGTCGGTTGGAGGAAACAACCAAATTGTTGGCAAGCTGCTTCACGAAGGAACGCCGAAGATGATACACGTGTGTTAATGGGATTTTTTTGTTATGTCTTTTCTCGATTCCAATCAAGCTATGTCCTCAATCTGTATATTGTTACAAAGTAGACAAGCAATGTATCCTTGTCCTTCTATCTCATATCAAGCTATATTACAGATATAGTTTATCGTGATAGTAGTAGCAAGCGTTTTGGCTTTTTCGTTTATTGCTTTATGTCTTTGAATTCACTGCTCTCGTTATAAAGAAGAAGTCAACACCAAGAAAAAGATATTACTTTTGATCATTCCAGTTTGAGTACTCAAATTGCGTCTTAGTTTGATCTAAATATTTTACTCATCATATTGCTATTTTGACCTTTAGCCCCTTCGACTTTTTGATTTTTCAACCTTTTGTTCCTTCGATTTTTTGATCCTTCAACCTTTTTCGCCTTCAAACTTTTGTCCCACCAGAATTAATTCAACCTTTTGTCTCTTCGACTTTTTGTGTCTTCGCCTTTTTGTTTCTTCGACCTGTTGATGGGTTTTGGTCCAAAAAGTCAGAAACTGGTCACTTTCCTGGGGTCCTTGGAACATGATCGGATGCGGCCAATGTGGTCTTCTTCTTCTAGGCTTTTGTTAATTCCTAATGGCTAGGCTATCTGAGGCCTCCTTTTGAATGGTTTTGAAACTAAATTATCAGCATTTGTTCAGCTAGTGATAATTATTGCTCAAACAACCAATTAAACAAATTCATTCCAATAGCTGATCGAGTCACTCCATGCCGTTTTAAGATATTCTAATGGCTCAATTTTCTCTAATTTATTCCTCTTCATCATTCCATATGTTGAAACCGACAAGTTGCACCACAATCTGGTGTTGCGAAGGCTACAATTATGATAACTTCATTGTTAACACCCCATTCATAATGCCGTCTAGCTGCCGTCAAACCGTTTCACGTCATTTATTTTAGCGCACCACTCCAGCCATTAGAGCCAACGAAGGAAAACTTGTGTCAAGAAAGAAAATATTACATCTATGCAGACTCGCAACAGGGGACAAGGAAATGCCGAGTCAGTTGGTACTGGGCCGGCGATGCACACTCTCACGTTTTGAGCACGCATGCAAATAGTGCCATTTATGCAGATTTAACAGACAAGAAGAAGACGATGCATCGCTTGAAAATAAAGCCTATGAGCACTTGCTCATGAATCCAGATATGCAACGACAACGAGTTTCTTCCTGGAGTCAAATTTCAACTGGCGTGTGACGTACCTTTGTAATGTAACCTAATACCAAGTTTTGCTTTTCGATAGGTTTGACCTACTTTCTCAATTACCGTCGTGTCTCGCCATCGAGTAACCAGTCAAGAGAATTGTTGCCAATCTTAAGGTCAAACCATTCCTCAGAAGGGTAATTGCAGAGTTGCTATCAAGCAGCGATCGTTGAAATTCAAGGTTCATAAAATTAAGAAAAACTAGGTTATCAACATCACACGGATTTGCCCGGAGTGAGTCAGTAGGCCAGCAGGATAGGTAATTCTGGTCATGTACCTATGACCAGTTCCTGAACGGTTAACAGTAAATAATGCTGCACGCTACTCGCGGTACTTAATAAATCTACATTTCGCGTTCATCCTCCAGGGGGAGAAAGACCAGCCCAATACACGAAAACATTCATTCTACCAGGCTTCCCTTCTGTTCCCTGGCTGGTCCGGGCACACCAAGCTCAGCATCACTGGACTCTGGTGTGCAATCGCCAGACCTACTTTTCATACCGGTCCAGTGCACCTGAGTTCTGGATTGCAGCATAAGCTTCGCTACCAGTAATTACATAATGAAGAAAAAGCTGCTTGCCTTCCAATGAGCAGAAAAATGCATCACTTTTTCCTCTCCATGGTATCATAACGATGATGATGATCCTATTATTAATAGCAGCAATTTAATGTTCCTACCTTTGTTTTTTGTTTCTTTCCAGTCAAGATCATCAATATTCCGCGGCGTTATACTATGTCTCTGTCTGAACCTGACCTACGCCAATGTGGCCCGCTTCCCTCGCGAACTGCAACATCATGGGTCGGCCTTCCTCGTGCCCTACGTCATACTACTGCTCCTGGTTGGGCTGCCGGTCGTCCTGCTGGAGATCTCGCTGGGGCAGTTCCTCGGCCAGGGGTCGGCGCATATGTGGCGTGCGGCGCCCTTTCTTAAGGGTAAGTACCGGAACCAGTTTAAGCTTAATCTTTTGTGTTTACAATATTGGAATTAACATCGAGTTTCGATACAAAAGGTTTGAGGTCTTTACAGCGACACTTGATGATTGAAAAAGTGGAGTTGTTTCAAATGATTCATGGCATAGCATACCTCACACACTCAATATTTCCATTCTTTTCAACTTTTTGTTGGTTGGTTGTCTTTTTTAAAGAGACCCATCTCCACTTCCTCGCATTGACGCTCTTACACGAGCTTGGCTTTTGTTTCAGGAAATATATTTGTTAAAAGTCCATAAAGGTTGGTTTCATGAATATTTTTTTAATTTCTGTAGAACGATTTCTAAAGTAGAGAATAGCGTAACCACTTAATTTTAATATTTTTACCACCATTGGAAAACAAATTGTGAGCTGCTCCTAATTTTTCTTTTGACATTTTCTGGATTTTTCGTTTTTTTTACCCAGAAGCAAATTCATCAGCTGATTTCATCGAAAGCTTCTTCCAGCAGTCGTTTTGGTTTCCACGGTAGCTTCTGTTGACTTCTGCTGCACGCTTATCCCAAAGCACTAATTTTTTATATTGATTTATTTGATAATGCTCAATGGAATTAACTTTACAAAGCCGAGGATTTTTGTTCACTATACAAAATATTGTAAAACGAGGATCAAAAGGTACAACACAATAAACATTGAAAAATCTGCTTTAACAACATTCAACATCAGCTTCAGAAACTGACAACATATTGGTGCCCCCAGCTCCAGCAACAATCGATCCAACGTCATCTCAGGCTTCTCACTACGGTCACGCCAGCCGCTGTTGGTCGAAGAATTTTCGGAGCTGTTGCAACGTCACCTCCACCGGCGTTCAACTTTTCCGTTGGTTGGAATGCTGCTAGTGGGAGACCTACATACATAATAGCTGCAGTCGAGGATCCCTTTGCAATTCCCAACGGGCCGCTGATATTTGACTTAGGAACTGGAGGTGGTGAAATGTATCCCTCGGGCAATCCCGGATGGCCCGCGGTGTATTTTCCAATTGTATTATTTGTATAAACAAACTTTTTTCTGAGACGATTGAAAAAAATTTGGATTTTCGGGGCTCAAATAAATTTTTTTTTTGCTTCTGTGGCTATCGTTTTTGACTTAGTCCGCATTTTCGGAAATCACCATCATTTTACGCCGTTCGTATTCCTATTGTCCTCGACGTGGTCTTCCTCACCATGGTTATTTGTTAGTTCCTTTTCCTACACAGATGTTGGCACATGCATTACGATTTATCAGCTCTTGTCAATGTAGTCCAAAGGTGTTTTGCAACATCACAGTGACATGACACATTTGAGCCATAAGAGATACTAGATGTTCGCAACAAACATTTACAGTAACAACTTGATCCAGTTGGTTGCAAAACGAAGTTCGGAAACTTTTAGATTCATACAAATTTTGCAAATAGGTTCTTCATCACATATTGGTTTGTCGACTTATTAGTAACATCTCGAAACAGTTGCTCAACAGCTACAAAAACATATCATTCACACTCTGTTGTAACCAAGTTTCAAGAAACATAATGTTTTACGGAACTCTCATTCAACAAATACAACACAAGCTAGATTTGTTGCTCAAGTGTTTCATATTTACAATATCACGTAGCATATAACTTCACACCAATTTGAGTGTAACATGTTTGCACCTCCCATTTGATGCATGATTTGAGAGGTCATCCAAGATCCGAGCAGTATGTTGAAACAATTGAGTTTCATTATTGAGACCTGAAGTAAATCAAGCAACAAACTTGAAACAGTTTAGTATCAAGATGTATTTCTCGTACCATTTAAAAGAATTCTGGGCAACTTAAATAAAAACCCAAGAAATTTACAATGTTTTCTGTGTTGCTTGCGCCATTTCCATACAGTCTATCACGCTTCACGCTCACTAGATTCTACTCATTCTTTATTCCACACTAACCCTATCTACTACAACGCTCAGCTGTCTGTTTTACTCAATTCAACGTTCATGGAAGAAAATAGAAGCAATGAGAATAAGAACCAAATCAGTGCGGCTAGCACAAGCTAATGCTCGTTTCTGATGTTGTTTGCGTGTGAGTGAGTAGTAAATGCAAAATGAAACGCCATGCTTAGTAGAGTTGATAATAGAGCTTATTTAATCGGCCAGCGCACACTACTGCACCATTTAAATCGAACGAGTGCAAGCAAGAGGGAAACAGATTAGTGGTGAAACAAACCGTTCATTCATTCATGTGTGCTGGATAGAGAAAGACTATCAAACGTCAAAAAGGTCTATAGAAGAGTTACGCAGACGAAAACCAAAATCTACCTATCGAACTGTCAAACCTGTTGCGTGGGAAGTATTGTTATCGAAACTAGAGGATTTTCCACAACCCAAGTGAAGTCATCGGAAATGTTAACAAAAACAAAGGTTGCCAAAACAAAAAAAAACTGCTCATTGATCAGCATCAGTGTTGCCAGTTTTACTCTGCGTTACTCTTCTATTATCAACTCTGATGCTTGGAAGGAAACTGGATTACCTTTTCAGAAAACAAAATACACACTGAAAAAAATATCGCATAAAAAATAAAAACATAAAAAATAATACAAATCAATCACAAAAAAGGTACATTTTTAAGATTTTTATTTTATGTTTTTGGGAAGCTTATCAAAAATGGACACAACGGACAAACGGTTTTTCACAAATAATTTTAATTTTTTGTCCAGAATATGATGATTATTGCGTAAAAACAGTTCAAATTTTTACTAAAAGTTTATGTTGTATATTTAAGGTATATTTTGAAGAGTCCATTGTGTCCATTATAGAAAATTTAGCATTTTTGAAAGCTTGCGCATAAGATAAATAAATTTACTTAATTGCTATTGAAGTTTTGACCCATTTTCTTCATTGTTTGACAAAAAGTTGTGAATTTTTCATAATGCTTTTTTTTTTTTTAATGCAATCCAGTTTCCTATAACTCTTAGGCGTCATTTCGATAACATAAGCCGTTTTTGTGCTATGGTCTATTGAAAACTATCGAATATGCTATATATTTGGCCTGAGTTTGGTATAAATAAAAGTTTATTTAAGTTTCAAACACTTTTTGTATTTTTGACGCAAGATTACTAAAATAAAATATGCGTATATTTTTTCAGAAATTTATTAAGTTTTCTTATAACTTTGTCTAGGACATCATATCGATTGGAAGTGATGTGTTTGAGTAATGATTTGTTAGAATATATCGAATACGCCATACGATATTCAAAATGGCCGAGTTTCAGCTCAAATGTGAATGATTGACCATAATACACAATATTGCAAAGTTTCATGCAAATCGGATAAGATCGAGTATGAAAATAATTTATTTTGAGCTACTTGCATTTTTGCTTTTGCTGTATGTTGCGACAACTTTCTGTAATAAGCTAATCCACGCCAAATAGCGGAAAAAAACGAATTTCAAATTCTACATCTCAGAATTCCATCAAACTTCGCACAATTGTTCGCTAGTGTTTGTGCCGAAATTGGGCCATTTGGACTCCCGCTTAGGTTTTATAGCACGAAGGCTCATCTAATCTAAATGTTGTGTGGAACTTAGTTGTACACTAAGAAAATTTCAAAGATTGTTTTTATGTGTCCCACACACGATTTTTTGCATTGTGATCAATAAATAATATCTATGTGTCGGACACATACTTAATACTGTGTGACCACACATACTATTGATTTGACGCATAAATTTCATGTGTACTTTTGAGTGGATTCTGTTTATGTGTGGTCACATGAAAATCATGTGGAATTTCACATGGAAACTCATCAATAAAAATGTGTTGAATTTTTCGAGTGTAGGAAACGGAAATTTTCAGAGAAAAAAAACTGTAAAAAAACATCACACTAACACACATGCAATGGAACATACTCACACTAGAGTCGGTGTATAATGAGTCACGCCAAGAGAAAAACAGTTGAACTCGAATCACGGTTTTCGAAAGATTCCCTTTCTTTTCACTTGGCAACAGAGAACTTCTACATCAACTTCAAATGACTTCTAGCGAGAAAAAATAGCGGCTGTAGTAAATCATCAATCATTTGTGATTTAGTCAAATTATCTCAATCAAAAATAGTAGAAATTCTCATAAGTGATCGTTGCCAAACGTATCCCATGACAATTTATTGCTCACTGCGTGTTTATGATCATTTCAGGCATAACATTTGATAACAGCACAAAAGCATTTGTAAACAAACATTCTAAGGCCCTCTACACGTGAACCAAAGTACGCCCACGCCAACCAATACCACTTTCGGAAAGGTCATAGTTGTCCCTATCCGATGATGTTGTTGGTTTGCGTCGGCGTGCTTTGGTTCACGTGTAAAAGACCTTAGAAAGTTTGTTTACAAATGCTTTTGTGCCGTTATCAAATGTTATGCCTGATTTCTTCGATTATATTTTATATTTTACTATTTTACGTGGACCTTTCATAGCATCGTAATGTTTGTTTACTTTGCACGATAGGTAGCCGGTTTGACAGCTCAATAGGTAGACTAGGCTTCACTCTTGGCGTGACTCATTATAGAGATTGCTGACGTTTATCGTACGCACACTACGTCACGTATACGTATACGCAAAATGTTTTCATCGGGAAAAAAAAACTTCATAGCAGAAAATTTTCCCGATGAAAACAAATCACTGACACAATCATACTTTAGCAATCTCTATACATCGACTCTAACTCACACAAGTAAAGAGAAAGTCTCGAATCGAAGATACAGTGTAGCACACAAAAATTGATACCGTTTGCAGTGAGTTAATTACTATACCCAAGTAACACACAAAACATCTTTCTGAAAAAGAATTAGAGTGACATGTTGTATAAATGTATTATAAGTGATGCAGAAAACACCCCATGCTTTATTTGAGGTTTATAGATGTTATCTTCATACTTCCTAGAGTTCAACATGTTCCAAAATAGTTTTCTTCTGCTTTTATCTTTTAATGTTATTTA